TGGCACAATCTTGGCTCATTACAAACTCTGCCTCTCGGGCTCAAGCAATTCTGGTGCCTCAGCCTCGCATGTAGTTGGGACACCATGCCATCTGGCCTGGCTCACTTTTTATATTTCCAGTAGAGGTGGGATTTCACTATATTGGCCAGCCTGGTCTTGAACTCCTAACTTTAGGTGATCTGCCTGCTTCAGCCTCCCAAAGTGCTGGGATTATAGGCATAAGCCACCACACCCAGCCTAATTTACCTGTTAACACCCCACACAATATAGAAGAACTGCTGTCCCCTAAGGAAACGCTCTGGTTAATAGACAATTGCCTTCTCAAATATCAAGCTTTGCTGCCTAAGGGATCTGCTGTCCCATTGAAACCTGTCCTTGCCTGAACCCAGCTACTTTCTCCCAGAGAAAATTGGAGAACCTGAATATAACTATGAACAGCTATTATAAGAAACTGGTAAAATAAATAACAATCACTATTTACATGCTCTATAAAGTTTTAATTAATGAAAAAGGATTTTCTTAAACAGTGCTCAACTTGGCCAAGCGCAATTCTTCATGTCTGTAATCCCAGCACTTTGGGAGGCCAAGGTGGGTAGATCACCTTAAGGTCAGGAGTTCAAGACCAGCCTGGCCAACACAGTGAAACCCTATCTCTACTAAAAATACAAAACTTAGCTGGGCATGGGGGTGCCTGCCTGTGATCCCAGCTACTTGGGAAGCTGAAGCAGGACAGCTGTTTGAACTGAGACCTGGGAGGAAGTGCAGAGGTTGCACTGAGCCAAGATCATGCTACTGTACCCCAGCTTGGGCTACAGAGTGAGACTATGTCTCCCCCTCCCATGAAAAAACGGGTGCCCAACTTAATTAAAAGTTGATATCTAAGCTATGGATACATTTAAAAGACCCTGATGTTTTTCTCTTCCCAGATCTTGTTCTTCTACGAAGGTCTGTCAGTCAACCAAATAACTTCTTTCATTCTGTCTTGCCACTCTTGGTGCATATATGAAAGACCCTGGAATGACTTCTTGTGACCTGGGATTTCTTGAGAAAACAGACGAAGAGGCACCATAAATCCCATTTTGAGAGAAATTTCTATTTTCCTCATGGAACCCCTGTAATTAGAGGTAAATAAGTCCCTTTCAAAATCTGGCTTTGTCTTTCACCTATGCCACAGGCACTGGAAACTGTATTCCTAGCCTGCTCTTAGAAGGGCTACACCCTAAGCTGTTAGATCTTCTTCTGTCTATGTAGTAATATATGTGATATGTACATGATGTCTATAAAAAGAGCTCTAGTTAACTGGCCTAAATAAATACTTTAAATCAAATATTTTTAGGGAAAAAGTAAAAGCTGTAGTACCTTTCAGTTCACATGGCTTTCATCTTTAAAAGTAAAAACAGTTTCTTAGGAATTATTGGTAAAACACATGTCTTTAAGTTATAAAAATGTGGTCTAAATTATGCAGTTGAGATAACAGCTATGCTAAGTATTTTAAGGTTGTAAACTGCCTGATTCACAATTGGTAAGACCTGGGAACATATGGAAGCAACACACCCATAAGGAGGCTGAAAGGAATCAAACTTTGTCTTCACCTCGCACATAATTAAAACAAACCAGCAGGTTTTTTTTTGTTTTTTTTTGCGACGGACTCTCGATCTTGTCACCCAGGCTGAAGTGCAGTGGCACAATATTGGCTTTCCGTAATCTCCGTCTCCAGGGTTCAAGCAACTCCCCTGTCTCAGCTTCCCAAGTAGCTGGGACTACAGGCACGTGCCACCACACCCGGCTATTTTTTTTATTTTTATTTTAGTCTCCCAAAGTGCTGGGATTACAGGCCTGTGCCACTGTGTCCAGCCTCTTGCCTACATTTTAAACTAACCCTGCTTATACCCGTAAACCAATGAGTGATCTCTGGCTGCAGCTCAAAGTAAACAGAAAGGGATGTGTAATGTAAAAATTTGGAACAATGTTCTAGTTCAGAGCAACTATCCTACAAATGCTGCCAGGTAACCTATAACCTGGAGGTTTCATTTTTGAGAAAGTTAAGACAAGGAAGCTGAACAAAGCCAAGCCCCATGCACTCAAATCTTAACAGGCACAGCAATAGCCACCAGTTATGAGTGCATGTCTACAGCTTCCGGATTTTAAAGCTGTCTTTACCCGCTCCATGTCTCCTTTAAGTAAACATCCACTACTAAATCAAATTGTTTCTTTTCACTTAGAGACTGTCAAGCTCCAAATGGTAATGTAAATGGAACCATGCATAAACATTCCTTTCATCTGAGACCCTAAACCATCCCCTGGAGAAATCCCAGCTACAGTTCCCCAAACAATGCCTCTCTCCAGCAGAAAGTAATCAGGAAGATCAATTCCCAATTCTCCCTAACAGCAGTTAAGGTTTCCACTCCTGAAAAAGAGAGTGAGTGAGAAGCAATGGAAAAACCAATTTGGAGTGCAGTGGTGTGATCTCAGCTCACTGCAACCTCTGCCCCCCAGGCTCAAGCAATTCTCCAGAGTAGCTGGGATTATAGGTGTGAGCCATGCCCAGCTAATTTTTTGTATTTTTAGTAGAGATGGTGTTTCCTCATGTTGGCCAAGCTGGTCTTGAACTCCTGACTTCCTGTGAGCTACCCTCCTCAGCCTCCCAAAGTGCTGGGATTACAGGTGTGAGACACCATGCCCAGCCACATACGTACCGTAATGTACTTTTTACTGTAATTATATTAAAGTCATCTTGAAATTTTTTGAATTAAAAAGGAGAGGGGAGAAAAAAAGAGGGAAACTGAGATTAGATCCTCCACTGTCATTATGGCTGTCTTGCTGCATCACTGTTTCAGAAGTTATCTCAGGACTAAAAACGATAGGAAATTAATTGAGAGTATCAAAAATAATTTCTCAATATTGATGTCCTTATTTACGCCTTTGATATACTTACAGAAGATTAAAATATATAAAAAGTGATCTCAAACAAATTCATATTATGCTAACATAGCTGATTAAAATGAAGCCTCCTAATCCCTTTTTGTGGTAATTCTAGTTTAACACATCTGGGGTGGTAAGTCAGGATTCAAAATGTAACAGTTGTGAAACTATTATGCAGGTCACTTCTGTCCTCTGTACCGAATTCTCTTTCTTTTTTCTACATTCTCCATATTGGCAAAATCCATCTATGTACTAAATTGTTACAATGTGTTAATTTTCATTGTCATGTAGTGTTCCACATAAAAAGAGTCCACAGTTTACTTAACCTTTGGTAATATACAGACATTTAACTTTTCTCCAGTTACTAATAAAACAATTCTATTAAAATACTGTTGAACACATACGTTAGTAAACATACTCCTGAGTTTCTCTAGAGCATAAATGCAGAAACAGAATAGCTGGGTGACAGAATGTAAGAATCTACACTTAAAAAAGAAATGTCAAGCTATTAAACGATCTTGTGGTTAATTAGCACTAAGGCTCCCAACAAAAATCTGATTTACTGAAATATGTATTTATAAATAATGACTAATGGGCTTATATTTTTGATCCACAAATTCACCAGCCTTAAAAACAAGCTAGAGCATTGTGCCAAAATGCCTTTAAAAGTGACATTATGACATTAGAAACCTCTTGCTTTCTGAATTTCATTTCTATATGCCCGTATACATAACTCCAAAGAACCAGAATGTTTCATACCTCATTTTCCAATTATTCTCTGCATTTCTACAGGTTATTTTAACCAAAATCAAAATGAAAAGTACCAATGGAAACAAATTCAAAGAAATAATCTAAGTGAAAGAACATTAAGATTCTGCATTTGTGATGAAATTATTCTAACAAAAATTATTGTTAGCTCTAATTTGAAGAAACAGCAATAACAAATTCTTTTTCATAAGAGATTTTCAGATGAAAATGTTAGTTAAGCAAACTATCTATATGCAAAAGAAATCTAATTAATTTTACTTAGAATTAACTGGCAATGCTATTCTATTTGGCGGCAATTTACTATTCAAGCTAGTACCTTAAAGCAATCAAAAAGATGATCAAGTTGTCCAGGAGAAAAATCCCAAGCCAACTTTGCTAGCAGATCATGTACATTATTCACAATGGCTTCATGTTTTCCCGCCTGTTGAAAAAACAAAACAGAATAAAAGCAAACAAAAAATTAAAGTGTTTTATTAGAGTGAGCATAGAAAGTTAATATTAAGATAAAAGTATGTCAAATTGCAGGGTCTTTACTGCCGGCGCCATGGAGGACTCCAAGCTGTAGCTTCGAAATGAACGTGTCAAGACTTTCATGCCCGTAAACACCTCCTGGGCGGGGTGGGAGCAAGGGGCTCTGGACATTCCTGAGGGCTAGTTGACTTTGAACATCCTGTAAACCACCTCCTGGGCAAGAGTAAGAGTGAGAGTCTTTGGACATTCTGATTGCTACCTAAGTGGTTCACAGAAGTCAAGATAAACGTTAGTTTACACACCGCCTAAACAGAATAAAAATTACAGACCTTAATTACTTATTACAAGTCTCAGGCGCCAAGATAACATAAGTTTAGACTACTTGCCTGTCACATCAGAGTTACAGAGCACTATTTCAACAGAAAGCCAAAGTATAATTAAAGTATACAATTTTATAAAACTTTTAGCATGTCACAATAGCATAGTTAAATTTTAATAAAAGGAACAAAATAGTTCTACGGGAACAATCCCCATTGCTTAATAAACATCCCTACTTCATTTAAGGTAATAACAGAGTTCTTAATATTTAAAATGCTTGAGAAGTGTAATTTAATACTTGGCAACTCAGTTTTTTGGGGTATAAATAGTAAACTTTGGAAATTAATATGAAAACTTACTAGAAGGTGTTTACAAATAAAACAGAAAAAGAGTTCAAAATAGTGGACCGTTTCAAAACCCAAAGCTTAAGTGCTCAATTTTTTTCTCTTAAAAAAAAAAGGGGGGGGGGGGG